GTGTGTGTGTGTGTGTGTGAACGCGTGCGATGTGTTGTAGTGTGTGCATGCGTGTGTGGTGCGTGCGAGTGTACGTGTGTATGTGTGTGTGTATGTTTGTTATTTGTATGTGTGCGTGTGTGCGGCATGTATACACGTGTAATGTGCCATACACATAATATAAATTATAAACTTTTTCAAGACCATTTCAGGAGAAAGGGGGAGTGGGAGGGGGTGGTGGGTGGATTTTAAAACTATCAGGAGAGAAAAAAGAATGAACGACAAGGACGGACAAGTCCACTTGAAGAACATAACATTTTAAAAAGTTGGAAAAACTTAATGTCAAAGAAAAACAAAGCTTCATTCACTGTGGTATGGGTTTGGCTGCATCAAACAAATAGCAAACACATAGCAAGACACACACATAATAATATAAACAACAGAAGAAAAAGATAGATAATGTGTATGGTTTTGGGGTGGGGTGTTGCTCATGCTTTGCAAACTTAAATTTCTGTGTTCAGAACGGAGTAGCAGTGAAAGAAAAACTGAAACTGCAACTAGAAAAAAACTTCCATGAATTGTGAGTTTCAAGTCACTTGAAAAAGCTGCGTTTGCCGTTTTCAAGATTGACCCTCACACAAGACAGATGAAAGAGTGCGTCTTCAACACATCGTTACCCTTCCCGTACGTCGTGTTTTGCTTTCGTATCCATACGACGTGCGGAACTCTGTGCCACCACTTTCTGAGAGGAAATTTACTCGTTAATCCAATTCGTACGCTTTGTATAGCAGTCTGTCAAAATGATTTTTTGAGACATACTGAAAGTTTCAAACAGATCTTCGTACTACAAGTATTTTAAAATGTGAAGAATACAACACTGGGGGTACGAAATGACCACAGGGTGTACGGATAGGGTTAAACCTATCATATTGTGTTCAAAGGACATACATTGCTTTAACTTTCACTTAAAATATGGTCGAGTCCTTTCAATTTTTTAGACCTCCGAATGAAACACCATAATTATATGAAGCAAGACCTGCACGGTTTAACATCAATCTCTGAAAGAACCAAACCAGATTGGGAGAAAGTCTCCGCCCCCTTTCACCCCCTCCCAGAATGAGAGCAAAAAAAAAAAAAAAAGAATTCCAGTTTTAAAAAACGTTTCATTGAAAATCGAACCAGGACCATCCACATTGTTCTCCAAGATGGCATAATACTGAGCTATCAAAGACCCCGTGGGTTCCTAGCACAAGGTAAAACTGAATCTCAACAAACTGTACGTATGAACGCATGTATGTAAAGTTTTCTCTTACCTGAATGGTCAGTTTTGGCGGCTTGTCCTTCTTCTGCTGCCGACGCCGTAACTCTCTGATGACAGGGTCTGTGTACCTCGCCCCCCGAACCCCGCGGCACTCCATCCATCCTAGAAACTCCACGTAGAACTGAGACTTCTTGGCGAACGGGTCCTGGTCTTTCTCTTTCTCTTTCCCCTTGCTTCCCATAAGAAAAGACATTGTCAATTTTAAACGCTGGTCCGACGACAACAACGCACGCTGTAAGTCAGGTGAACTTTCAGCGAGAAATAGTGGGTACTATTTCTGATGTAACAACAACACACCAGTGAGTTAGGTGTGTTTACAACAGCAGCAGCGGCCGTGTGCTGTTAGGAAACTGCTTTTTAAAAATAAAACCACACCGAGCTCACAGAAAGCTGAGCACCAGACGAGACAAGGTGGGTTTTCAGTTCGCCTCCGTGTAGAAGTAGAAATGAATGCAAAGTAGCTCCGCTCCAAAAAGTAACGTTGTCACTTTGTCTCCTCCCTAGCTCTGATCCTGCAACAATGAAAACATAATTCAACAGGTGAAAACAACGGCCTTTTGGGATCTGTACAGACTTCACTTGAAGAAGAAGAAGAAGAAGAAGAAGAAGAAGAAGAAGAAGAAGAAGAAGAAGAACAACAACAACAACAACAACAACAACAACAACAACAACAACAACAACAAGAAAACAACAAAAACAGCAACAACAACAAAAAAACAACAACAACTACTGCAAGTGGATTTTCAAACTCCAACAATAACGTCGAAATGTCGTGGACTATTCAAGCTCAAACTTTCCTAACTTCAATTGAGAAAAACAATACGAAAATAGATTTGAGCTCAAGGAAGCCGTGTTTTCAGTAAGAGACACAGTTTCCTTGTCTGACAGGTTTATTATGCAAACCGGGGGTCGCCTCGGGCTAAGATGGCGTCGAATATAACTTCATAGACGCAAGAGAAAAGGCTGGGCAGGCTTTCTTTTTTTCCCCGAGATCAGTGGAGATTTCTGGCCTAGCTTCAGAAAGTTGCGGAGATAAAAACACGAAACTTCTGCGATTCGGAGAGTTCGTGGTTACGCTTGAAGCACAGTGTACAATTTATCTTTAAAAATAACAGAGATTAGAGGATGGACAGAGCGGAGATGCGATGATCTTCGCTGTTCACAGCATCATAGACTTGAATAATAATTTAACAATAATAATAACATGTCATAGACCTTGCACTGTAAAGGCCTCCTCTCTTCGTTCTCTATAAAAACTCTTGATACAAAGCGTGCACATCAAATGAAGGGTAAGATGAAAACCGGTCTCGCTATGGTTGAGTGGGCAAAAGACCCCCCCCCCCCTCCTTGCTCTTCATTTGGCTCCAAACTAAGTTTAATGGTGCTCTCCATAATGAACTAGACTTGCGTTAGATCTATGGTTCACAGTGAAAAAGTTATGAGTTTATGTTGTATTGTAATTATCATATGCCAGAAAAATTAACACGAAAGAACCCCCCCCTCCCCCCACAAAAACCTAACACACAAAGAAATAAAAAATCCCAAAACAGTAGAGCCATTTTGACTACAGAGTCACCAGAAACACCCTTACCCTTGCCCAATCATCAATTATTCCTTATGTTTGGAGCATCTTATTCTATCCTTTATCCCAACGTATTGACTGTTATCCTATTTTTTTTTACCACCACCACCATATCGGCTACCCTAACATCTGACTATAAATTACCTCTAATCTCTATCATAGGCTATAGCTTAACACATTTGTCTAACACCAGCATTGCGGCTTCTAAAGCGATTTCTTCAACATAATAATATTGTAATTATTTCTGTATAAAGTAGATTAGTATTCTGCTTTATAGAAAGGAGCGTACACCCCTCTCCCCCACCCGACCCCTCCTCACCCCCAACACTGGATAAGGGCCTCCCTCTCTCGTACTGACCACACAAAACAAATAAATATGAATTATGTTAAGGTGTGTGTG